TTAACAAAAATATGCCCTAAGTGACAATGCCAAAGATGAAAAGGAGAAAATGACGAAGCAGATGCAGGAGCAGCGATCTGAGGAGAGTCAGAAACATGATGGTGAATGAGTTCATAGAGACGTCCGTGCTTACGGCCGATCCCAATAGTCTGCCCCGTCTGAGGGTCCTGCACCAAATAATCAGTAGCAGAAAATGTGACAGTTAGACCAAGTTCACATAATTGACCAATAGAAATAAGGTTTAAGGTGAGAGCAGGGATATGATAAACTTAAGGTAAAGATAAAGAAGATGTGGAAATAGTACCAACATGGCGGACGGACAGACATGAGAGAACCATCAGTAGTATGAATTGAGGGAATATGAGGAGATGGAGAGATGAAATAAAATATGGTAGAACTGGAGGTCATATGATTACAACAGGCAGAGTCAAAATACCAAGAAGAGTTACCTGGGATCACAAACAAAGCAGTAAGAGGAGGTGTACCAGAAGGGGAGAGAAGGTGTTTGAACATGGCCTCTACATCCGTTTAAGAAAAGAGAGGGGTAGATGGAGGAGGTGACTCAGATAAACCCTCAGTGGCAGCAGTAGCAGTGTGATGAGACTGATTCCCAGAACGATAAGAGCTCCCCCGGGAAGAACCACAGCGAGAGGAGTGGCTATTGGAGGATGATCGAGATGGATTGCGAAAACAATCCTGTTGCAGATGACTAGAACCAAGTTTGTTGCAGTATCGGCATGATCTGACGGGCAATTGACCAAGAGATGTGTTGAAGGAAGGCCCCGATTCTGACAATAGAGGCAGGTAGTGGTCCGCTGGGTAAATGATGGCCGGTACTGAGGAGTGGCAAGAACATAGTCCACATGATGAGTTTGAAGAGTACCAAGACGAGTCTCCTCTGATAGCAGCTCAGAAATAACTTGTTCAAGAGTGGGCAATGGATGGCGATGGAGAAGAGAGGCACGTACGTGCTCAAAAGAGGAAGTGAGAGCCATGAGAAAATGCACCAACCTTTGCTGATTATGATAGATAGTAAATAAAACAGCATCTTCTCGGTGAGGCCAAGTCGGTTCTGAAAGAGCAAGCTGGTCCCAAATAGAATACATTTGAGAAAGAAAGTCATTAATGGACTGACTGGATTCTTGGCGCATGCGGTGAAGTTGGCTCTGAAGTTGATATTGATGGGCAAGACCAGTAGTCTGGTATCATTCTTTCAAAAAATCCCAGATGTCTTTTGCAGGAGTAGTTACAAAGTCAAGCTGAAAACGACCAAACTGAAGACTGATAGAGGTAACAGAGGTATTTCGAAACCAGGTAATGATCTGGTAGTTCTTACTGTCCCATTCCTCAAGTCGGTCTTCATATGTAGCAGTAGCAGTAGCAGTAGTAGTGGTTTCATTAGTGTCTTTCACCGGTTGGGTCACATCCCCGGTGATAATGCGCCAAAGCTTCTTTTCTTTGAGGAAGGAAGACATGGCTTGGGCCCACAGAACATAGTTGGAACCATTAAGAATAACAGAAATGGGATGGAAGGTATCATGACGATCCATAATAATAGGTTAGTAGGGCGAAATAAATAGGAGCAGACCTGTGGGAGCAAAATTAGGTAAAACAGAGTATACCAGTGAGTCCGGAAGGTCGAAAATAGCTAGGAAAGGTGTGCTGTGTAAAGATGATGTCAGCAGAGGCTAAAAATGATGTTAGCGGCGCATGTTAGCAGAGTGCAGTGAGGAGCACGATAGCATGAAGGCGTGCGGCGCACGGTAGCGGACTGGCGTACGAGTGGCGCACGGGAGCAGGTTTGGCGCACGCGGGTGCACGGTAGCGGACTGGTGCAGGCACGGCGCACGGGAGCAGGTTTGGCGCACACGGGTGCACAATAGTGGAGCGGCGCACGTAAAAAGCAGGGCTGACGCCAGACGCAGACGTAAGCAGCAATAGAGGGTGCGTGAAGGCGAGTGTGAGAGTGGTGGCGGAAGCTGAGACGCGCCGAGCACAAAGGCAGCGCGTGTGGGCGCGTGACGGCGTTTCTGAGGATGGGCGTGGTGCCGTTGGAATCGTGAGGAGATTCCGAGCTGTTTGGTGTAGTGCCACTGTGTACGGGACTAAGCACCAAAACTGAAAATTGCGAGAAATGTATAACTGTGCTCCGATACCATGTAAGAATGGTAGAGAGAGAGAGAAAAGAGAGAGACTGAATGAATGCTATATTCAGTATGTTTTTGTTACAAGGATGATGATTCTCATTTATAGAGAAGAGCACCGAAAGACTATGAAGCATAAAAATTAAAGTGTGTGTAGTGTTGTTCCCTTTACAACGTTTACAGCATATAGGTGTGTGAGTGTGGTTTCTTTACAGCATATACAACATATGTATATTATATAATACTAACCCAAGTATCGATCGAAGTGCAGCACCAGGTTTTCGAGTAGAGTTTGTTAGACAAACTTGCATTCCGAGGCCAAATATCGATCAGAGTGCAGCGTAAGATTAGCTAGACAAAGTCAGCATTCCATGCCTCCTAGGAATCAAACCTAGTACACCCCTAAGGAAAGGACTGCCTTTTCTACAAAGCCACCACCCCCGGTGGTAATCAAATTAGTGGTGTTTGACTTGTTAAAAGTTTATTATACATTTATTAATTACTTAAATAAGTCAAATGAAAATACATTTTGAACAAAAGTATATCGGTAGTTCTTACATTTTATCTCTTGTGTAATTTTGGTTATTATATTTTTAATTACCTTCATTTTAACCCTTAATTTTATATTTTGTATCAAATTTGGTCCAATTGATAATGTTGTTAGTATTTTCAAAGAAAATTCATCACTTAATTATTTGAGGTTAACTCACTAAGTTGAATAAATTTACAATTTTGACTCTAAAAGCATGAAATATCTATCTTACTTTTTTTTTATCAGCAAAAAACCAATTTATTGATGAATAATGAATAAAACTATACATCAATAAAGGAGATGGATGCACATGCATTATAGCAAAGTAATATGATCCCAACTAGGTTGGCACTATAGAACAAGCCCAATGATCTGTAGCATCACATCAAGTTGGTGAGTAACCAACCAAAATGCATATTTAATTAGAGACTAAAATTATCTTTTATCCTTAAAAATCTTAAGAATGAAATTAACAAAATTAAATCTTGAAGGATCAAAATAAGACAAACACTACAAGAAATTGCATTTTTCGCAACGCAACAAAATATGTTGCTAAAAGGAAAAATTCGTTGGCAAAGAGTTTTGCCGACACACAAAGCTACGTTGGCAACCCGTAGGCAAAAGTGAGTTGGCAAAAGTTTTTGCCGACGAAATTATCATTGCGTTGGTAAAAGTAATACCTTTAGCGACGAACATAGTCGTCGCTAAAAGCCTCCATCCATCGTCGGCAATTTACCTTGCGTTGGTAAAAGTCATTCAAATATGATAATTGTGTGACACTTTTCGCGACACAAATTTGCATGGGCAAAAAATATACTTTTAGCAACAACATATGCGTCGGCAAAATTAAACTTTTGGCGACACATATACGTCGGTAAATGTTGCCATTTGCCGACGATTTGTTTATCGCTAAAGCTTTACTTTTGGCAACGACAAATTGACATTGGCAAAAAATACACTTTTAGCAACACAATATGAGTGGACAAAAATAAACTTTTGGCTACACATTTACCGACAAGTTATTTGTCGAGAAAACTTTACTTTTTAACGACGACAAAAAGTTGCCTGTCCGCTCGAGCGGACATTACCCCGCTCGAGCGGAGAATGCTGGGTTTCAGAAGTTTGTCAGGTCTGTAAAAATACTGGAAGGTGTGATTTTGCGCTCGAGCGGGTTCTCCAATGCTCGAGCAGATATCTGTTATATCACGCGCATATTTTGCTGAAACCGCTCTAGCGGGCTGTTGGGCGCTCGAGCGGAGATCGTGGGACAGATTCTATAAATTCGCGTGTTGGGTCATTGTTTAGGATGGCTACTCCAGATCTTCTTTTTGGGTTCTAGGGTTTATATCTGGGGATACTTTGTGAGTTTTCTTTGGTGTTTTATTGAGTATTCAACTCATGGTTTAAAGAGAGTACATCAAAGGTTTTGTTTGCTATACAAAAGAGAGAGTTGTTCTTCGGTGGATTCTGAAGAATTCGAGCCTGAAGCTTTGGTGGATTCTGGGGTGGCTCATCGTAAAGACGATTCTGAGGTGAAGACGGGTTGGAAGAGGCACATAGAGGTTGGTTCAATTAGGCGTGGATTCGCTAGGTAATTGAGAGTATACCTGTGTAATTCCTTTAAACACTACAAGAAATTGCATTTTTCGCAACGCAACAAAATATGTTGCTAAAAGGAAAAATTCGTTGGCAAAGAGTTTTGCCGACACACAAAGCTACGTTGGCAACCCGTAGGCAAAAGTGAGTTGGCAAAAGTTTTTGCCGACGAAATTATCATTGCATTGGTAAAAATAATGCCTTTAGCGACGAACATAGTCGTCGATAAAAGCCTTCATCCATCGTTGGCAATTTACCTTGCGTTGGTAAAAGTCATTCAAATATGATGATTGTGTTGCACTTTTCGCGACACAAATTTGCATGGACAAAAAATATACTTTTACCAACAACATAGACGTCGGCAAAAGTAAACTTTTTGCGACACATTTACGTCGGTAAATGTTGACATTTGCCGACGATTTGTTTGTCGCTAAAGCTTTACTTTTGGCAACGACAAATTGACATTGGGAAAAAATACATTTCTACCAACACAATATGATTGGGCAAAAGTAACTTTTAGCGACACATTTACATCGGTAAATGTTACCATTTGCCAACGATTTGGTTGTTGATAAAGCTTTAGTTTTGGCAACGACAAATTGGCATTGGCAAAAAATACACTTTTAACAACACAATATGAGTGGACAAAAATAAACTTTTGGCTACACATTTACCGACAAGTTGTTTGTCGAGAAAGCTTTACTTTTTGGCAACGACAAATTTGTAGCGGCAAAAAAAATTGAAAATCATATATATTTTTTTATAAGATTTACATATTTACAAGAGGCATCCCTCAGGCACTGCTATTACAAACTAATAGCATTGATATTAAATCACCTAAAGTTGATGTGTATGCAAAAAAAACACTGCTGAAAAATATGCTTTTGGAAGCGTTGTATAAAACCTAAAAGGGTAAACTCACTAAAATACTCAAATCCATCCAAATTGTGAACCCATAGTAAAAACAGCAGATAACAAAATGAAAACATAAAACTAACAACAACCCAAATTTGCAGCAGACCAGCATCTAGTAGCAGCCCGCTTCACAACAACATTGCAGCAGCAGCAGCAGCCGCCTAGCAAAATTCTGCAGCAGCACACCGACAGCAGCCGCAGCAGCAGACCAGTTTTATGAACTTGAGACCTTCGTTGTAACATCCTACATTTGCTAATATTTTGTTGGGAAACATAAAAGTTAGAGTAGTCCAAATATTTTTTTAAAAAAAATCGCATGATGTGCACATTTACAAAGAATTTTACCTTTTCTCCTTCTCGATTAGGGTCCAAAAGTGGCTTCTGCTCAGATGCTGGCAAAGCAGGTGCACCATTCCAAATTTTTTGCCACAAATTCCCATGCTCAGACATTCTCTTTGAAAGTCATCCTCGAGGAGGCCAATTGTTTTTTAACGATTCCATTGCATCATTTGTAGACACTTCTCCACTCTCTTCGAAGTCATCGTTCTCCCAATCTCTAGGTGAATGCCAGTGGATAAAATCTTCAAATACAGCAGCTAGATTTGCTGCTTTGAATGCTGACATGTCTGATTCAGATTTTCACAAACATCTAGCACCAAATTAAATTTTGAAAGGAAATTAATAATGGGTTATGTATTTAAAACATTCTTTTTTTTAATAGGAAAGACATGCATGTTCACATATGATATGATCCATAAATCCATAGGTATGAAAGACGAATCTAAAAAAAAAAAAAACCAAGTACACAGCCATACAGCTGGGAAAATGCAAAAAAGATTTAACAGTAAAACAAATTCATGTTATGAAAACAGGAGAAAAAATTTGCACATGTTCTCAAATTTTCTGTGAAACAAAAACCAAATGCAGCAAAACAAAACGAAGCTTCAGGTCATGTTTAACAAGGCTGAGAAATAGTAAAACAATCTCATTCTGTATGAGGGGAAAAAACATAAACATTTGAAATGCTATTGAGGGTATGCTCATGTTTTAACTGAATTATGCCCCTTAAACAAGCAGAATGGCAAAACAGGATTCTTGTAGCTGACCCCCAAGTAGTTGGGACAAGACTTTGTCGAGTTTAGTCAGCATTACATGGATTTTTTTAATTTAATTTGTTACACTAAAAAAAAGGTATTTTCCGAATATGTTTTATTTTTTGCCAGCCGAATTTGTAGACGGAAAAGTATGTATGTTCTGTGATCATTTTTGTTATATGGGCACCAAATGTTACGTTATGCTTGTGCATAAGTTCATGGATTTTTCAGTTTTTACTATAAGACTCTTTAACAAATGTTAAATTACTGGTTTTGGGATTCATCCAATACATTTTGAATCTAATCTGTGCCTTTTGGCACTAGGATGTAACCTTTCAACCTCGAATCTCCAGTTTTTGTCATCTTCACACCACCCCTAAAATAGCACCTCAGATCAACATCATCTAGAACATTGATTTCAGTTTTTATAAATATGTCCAGGCTTTATGTATGCCACACTCTCTTTTCATAATTATGATATTTTTGTTGTTTTAAGTCACTTTGGTCAAGTTCCAATTTTGTCAATTCCATCCTTGAAGTTTCCAATTTCAGTCAACATGATCAATTTGAAATGGGCCATCTAAATCATCTATGTAACTGTTCCATTCAATGTCATTTTAGTTCCCAAAAACCAAGCCACCATCACAATAAATCTACCATATCAAAATCTACCCGTGATTTTATTCCTTAAGAACTAAATCCAAACCCTCAAGACACTTCTCCAACATTCCCTCATTTGCCTGAACAAAGTCTAAAAAGCCAAATCTTAAGTTGAACAATCAATCAGATATCATTCTGGCCAACTAGGAGTTGAGGTAAACATAGAGTTAAAGAAACAATCCTCTACTGTCCTATCAATGTACTGCACACACAAAGAAAATAATTACCCGATTATGTATTGAATTCATAGGGCTAACAACAACCCAAATTTGCAGCAGACCAGCATCTAGCAGCAGCCCGCTTCACAGCAACATTGCAGCAGCAGCAACAGCCCAGCAAAATTCTGCAGCAGCACACCGGCAGCAGCAGCAGCAGACCAGCAGTAGATCCTGAAATAAGAGAGTACTTAAGAGTGTCCCACATAATTACCGAATGGCTTACCCTTGCAGATCCTGAAATCCTATCCTGTTTGCCTGGAAAATACATTCCAGATAGTACACGAAACATGGATTCAGGATTTGGTCTTATCCTTCCAGTTCGATGCATTGGAAAAGCTTTTAGGATTTCACTCCTCCCAGCAACATCAGCAGCACTATGTAAAAGAGACCAGGCTTCCCGAAAGCGAAGGAAATCAGTTTCCCTGTTTGCTGAGGATAATTGGCCTGTAGCATATGGCCAACTGACAGTTGAAACCATTGCTGGTCTAGAAACCTTTTGAGAATCTCCAGGTAATGCAGGCAATGCTAAATTTGCAAGTCCATGGTTCCCACAGGGTAGAGAAACTCCCCCTGAGATAAAAAGTTCATTATTCAAGATAACAAAATAAACAATTGCTATCAACTGCAGAAAATGAGAGACTAAAGCAGACTGCTACCTGATCTGGATCTACAATGAGTCCTCCTTCAAAAACAATTCGTCTAACATACCTGTATTAGCAGCGTAAAAACATTACATATGCCTTTTCAATACATGCACATGTCCAGCAACATGTTTAAAGAAACCCTACTTTATCAATATTATCGCAACTGTGAAAAGACAGACAGAAAACTTTAGTTACAAGTGTATGCCTATGTAGCAATGTTCAATTAAGTATGCATGTTGAAGGAACCTTGAAATAAAGGCAAGTTTAAAGCTTGGCTGCAGAATCAGTTAATTCGTTTTGGTTGTTGGGATATCATGAAAGAATTCTGGAAAAAGGGAAGTTAAGAAAGCTTGCTTTTTCACGACTAAAATCTCCTGAGAGGCATTTTCTTATTAAAGTTTAAAAATACATTTAAGAAAATACTCTATTGGAGGCATAGCCACAAACAAACACTCAAAATTGAAATAGTTAAATTCACATTTTCATTCACTGTTCCTATTACGGAGCATCACATCAATTGATGCTTTAGTTCATGGTTCCTTAGTATAAGCTTTAAAGTCCTGGGATTCTCAAGTGATTGAGACATAATTATATTTGAAACAATAGTAAGAAACAGTTTTGAGCAATCACTCTCAAAAAAATAAACTTCCTTCACACATAGAAGATCATAAGTTCATAACCCTTAGGTCATAATCTAGGAACAAGAGAAATAGCTTCAAAAAATTATAACCCCAAAACTTACTATAAAATTTTTTTGGTGTTGCATCTCAAGACATTCAAAAGACTCATCTTTCAAGGGATAAAATCCAGCGCCAAATAAAATATATGCAGATTATGCTGAAAGTGTAACATAATAGTGCCTAGGATTTTGGGATGGAGGACTTAAAAAATAAATATCCTCAAGGGCGTGTAAGTGTAATTTACCCAAATGGTTGGTGAGTGAGGAGCTGCTATCAAGTTGAAGAAAGACCTAGTTTGATTTCAGACATGAAATTAAAGCTTTTGAATGAAAAATTGAAGAAATGGAATCAGGATTCAAAAGCCAACAGCTCTTAAGGACACAAAGGCCTTTAATGAGATTGAGAGTGTTCGTAATCTCATTATCGCAAAGGGGCATAGAGAGTACTTGAAAGAAGAATTTGGTAGCATTGCAAAGATGGAGAAAACGAGATAAAACCAGAAGGCTAAGGCTTTATGGCTTAAAGAGGGTGCTGGAAATACCCATTTTTCTTAAAGAATGGCTAATGCTCATACTAGGCAAAATTCCTATTGGGGCTAGGGTGTGGACGGTTGAGAAGATTAGAACTAGTACAGAGGATTCCTATGAGGAGCTTTACTCAGATCCAGGAGGATGGGCTGGACTTTGGTGGCATCGTGACCACTGATAAGGATTGGTTAGAAAGACATTTTCAGAAGAGGAAGTGGTTGTGGCATTGAAGTCTCAAAAAGGAGATAAGCTCATGGGTAGGTTGGTGTATGAGTATGACTATTGCCTTTTTCCAATAGTGTTAGGAAGGCGTTAAATAAGCCTACATAGTTGTGTTGGGCATGATATCCTTATTTTTCGAGCATGGTGTTTCTTAGAAAAGTTTCAATGTTTTTGTGTCATTGATTCCTAAGAAAGGAGGGTAGAGTATACAAAGGATGTTAGGCCCATCTCCTTATTGGAAGGAATATAAGATCCTACCTGAAGTTTTAGCTAGACCATTGAAGAAGGTACTTCTAAAGGTAGTGTCAGAGGAGTAGACAGATTTTGAATGTTGCTTTTGTAGCTAATGAGAGTGTGGATTTGAGGTTGTGGTAACCCAAGGGTGGTTTGCAAAGTGGATATTGAAAAAGCGTATTATCATGTAAACTAAGAATTTTTGTTATATGTGATGAAGAAGATGGGTTTTGGAGAAAGGTAACATAATTATATGCCAGTGCGAGTTTTATTGTTGGTTAATGGATCTACCGCAGGTTTTTTCTAGACGTCTTGTGTCAAGGAGATCAATTGTCATCTTTTTTGTTCACTTTGGTTATAGAGGCACAATATGCGACTTTCCCAAGGCAAGTATAGTATCTCATTAGACAACCACTATTTCTATATTGCTTCTCATAGAAAGTCTGTATACACTTAACAGAACGACTTCTTCTTTGAACAGTAAGGAGGGAAACAAAGAAAAAAGAAAAGGGTCTGGTCTCTCTCATTATCCATCTATAATTCTTGATAAGAACAATTCAAGGTGGTTTTCTTGACAATTTCCTTGTGGGGCGAATGAGTGGTTCGCCTAAAATATTATCTCATTTATTATAAGCAGATGACACCATTATATTTTAGATTTCATATAGTCTATTAAGTAAAGAATGAGGTATAAGCTATTTTGAGATCCCCTTTTGATGCTCATTCTCATATTTAGCTCTGTTTATCAAATATATATATATATATATATAATGAAAGAGAAAAGAAAAAGATATGAAACTTTTACGTGTGGGCAAACATTTAAAAAAGTAATAAACAAGACCAACTAAAATAGTGTCTATGAGAAATAAGTCAATGAAAGGCCTACCTTGAAATAGCATCTTTTGCCACTGTACATGTCAAGTCCAGTTTGAAGAATTTTCATGTCACACCCCAAGCAACCTACTGGCCAAACAAATTGGACAGAGTGGGTATACCAAGTTACCAACATGGCCCAAAAGCTTAAGCCCAAGTAATATACCAAATTAAGGTTTCATATTATAAAGAGGAAGAAGAAGAAGAAGCGATAGAGAAAAGCCGAAAAGAAAGAAAACGGTATGCCGATGTATCTTTCCAAAAAGATAGTTGGGCAACAATCCCCCACTCGTTAATCTTGAAAACGACAATGACTGAAGGCGTATTAAAAAATTCAACAGAAGATGAGGCTCTGTGAAACACATCCAGTGCAACAAAAACAATCGGGTTAAGGTTTGAGATTATGTTTGGAAGCAAAGATCAACACTGAACAGCTACATTTTAAAAGTTAAAAGTAAAAAGCTTACCACCTTCAATAACAGTAGATCCACTATTTTTGATGAGTTCAGAATATTTATGAACTTCAAACCCACTTGAAAAGTAGAAAAATATTTTATCACAATACAAGAGAGTTAATAGGATTTGCTTATGTATTTTTGTATAATTTACTTCTTGCCATAATTTTTGTGTGATATTCTAGAAGCAACAACTCAACATTATTATACAAATTTGAAAAGAAACCAAAGTCCTAGTATCTGCCAAACAATGCCTGATAATTCAATAATCAAAATCATGACTATCCTGGAAGCAAATGTAAGAATCGTTGCTGAGACTGACCATCCTTCATCGTGCATCACACTAATTGATCAATTTCCATGGAAGCATTGTTCTGGTCTCACATGTTGCTGTTGTTGTGTACTTCTCGACTGGAACTTTCAATGCATGAAAATGAAATATAAGCATTTGTTTATGAGAATAACACATTGACTAAAAGCACGGCACGAACACAAACAACTGATAACACTACTTTATACATGAAAAAAACACCAGAATTTTACGTCCCAAGAACTAAGTATAACAAGCATATATGAGGGGGAAAAATAAGTACAAACTAAACAGGGGTCAGATTAAGACTACAGAAAATGAACAGGATGAAATTGCCAGCCTTATGATCATCTCTCTTTTCTTTTTCTTTTTTCATATCCCCCTACTTTGTGTTTTCGAATTACTTACATCACTCTATCCAAACCACCTTTCCAAAATTAATATATAAATCCCAAAACATGTCTGTGGTGTGTCAGAAATAGGAGTGTCCCTCGACGTGTAATCATATTACTTACCACATACTACCTAACGCAAAAATTATCAGCATAATCTCCTACAAACCCTAGGAGTAGGTACAAACTACTGGATATAGTAGAGCAACTCAAAGGGGAATGTAAACAAAAAGTATTGAAAATTAATAGATGATCCACTTCACTG